CTGGCATCTGCAGCCTGCGGCTCAGAGCCGCCAGCTTCCTCCTGGCCTCGGCCACATGGCAGTGCCCGGAGGCTCCGACCTGGGCTGGCCGGCCCTCCCCCCGCCCCCTAGGCGCGGCCGGGAAACCTTCCGCCCAGTCCGTGGGGATGGGGTGCTGCCTTGTCCGCTGGGACTTTCTTCCGAGCAGCCTCGGGAGGGGTGCGGAGGGGGCGACGCAGGGGTGGGGCAGGTTCAGAGGCCAGTGTCGGAGGGGAGCAGGGGGACAGGGTCAGCCCGCGGAGGGGGGTCCTGTGCAACCGCGGGCTGACGGGGGGAAGCCCCCCACATTCTAGGGAAGGTCCAGCAGAGGGGCTGGGCTTGGTACCCGTCCCATAGACCGCTGACACGAAAGGGGCTCTGAGGGGGCAGCAGCGGGGCACGCTCAAGGTATGGGGCGGTGGCCCAGGCTCTCGGGTGGGCGGACTGCAGGACTGTCAAGCCCTGGGGCACACTGGGGTCCAAAGTGGGGGGGATAGGTCGGGCCCCTCTTACCTGCCGAGGCCCCGCGTGGGGCAGCAAGGGAAGTTTCCCCTCCGGTGCGGCCGGATAGCCAGCTGGGGCGGGGGAGAGGGGTGGGGGGGGAAGGCGTACGGAGATGCGATGCGCCGCGCCGCGCCTCGCCCCGCCCCGCCCCGGATGCGTCGGGAGCCGGACCGCTCCGTGCGCGGGCCGCTAGGCGCACTCCTCCGTCTCGGCCGCCCCAGTCTCGGGGCCCTTTATATCGGCGCCGCCCCCGCCCCCCTCCCTGCCGCGAGCACCCGCCGCAGCCAATCAGAGCTCGCCCTACATCCCTCTAGGCTCCGCCCCGCCTCCCACGGCCACCCGGGCGGAGCTGGGGCTGCTGGGCCGTGGGCCTGGGCGGAGGGAGGAAAGGAGGGAGGGAAGGTGCCCTCCCGCCCCACCCCAGCCCTCTTTCCTCTCCCCCCTCCCAGGGTGCGGGGCTGCCCCCTAACGGCCGAGTCCCCGACAGTTGGGAAAGTTCCAGGCAGCGGACGGGATTGGGCGGGGCGCCCCGCCAGGGAGTGGCGCCGTTGCCCCCCACCCTGAGGACCCGAGGGCTGGGAGCAGCGCAGCCCCGGGGTGCAGCATTACTAAGCCCCCACCCCCCACAGTCCCAGGGGTCAAGTTCCGAGACCCCTCGTCCTGTCCCTGCAATCCTGCCGCCCCCGACCTCCAGTACTGTCCCTATAGCCCCAGTTCTGCCCCCGAGGCCTCCAGTCTTGTCTCTGCAGCCCTTATCCTGTCCCCAACTTGACCCAGTCTGATTCCGGCCCCGAGTCCCTCCCGTGCAGCATCAATTCTGCACCCAGTCATTTCCTCAGTTCAACCCCATCTCCTTCCTCCACAGCCCCATTACTTCTCCTAATTCTTCTCCACAGCCCCCTTTATCCGCAAATCTGCTTGCCACAGACCCCAATTCTGCACTATGTCCATAGTCCTCTGTCCACAGGTTCCGGTGCCACAGCCCTCCCCCCTCAAGTCCCAGGGCCACACTGCCACACTCTGCAGCCATTGACCCGAATTACAAGTTCAGGGAAGGACTAGAAAATGGAACTTGGCCAGAAAACCTTCATTGTTCGAGAAGTTGCCCCAAAGTTTTTGTCTTTTCCCTTGAGCTTTCCACCCAATTAAATGGAAGGGAGGGGATAAGGGTGAAAAACTAGAGATTAGGTCAAAGGAAAGCAAGGTAAGATAGGGGAAGAATGAAAGTATTATTTAGAAGGGACTGGGAAATTGTGGGAGGTAAGGGTAGTAGTGCAAATATGAACTAGGGGCCAGGGAAATGGGAAGGGGACAATGTTGAGAAGCACCTCTAGGGTGAGAGGCCAAGGTGAGAGTGGAACGAGCTTAGGATTTGGTGTCTGAACAGCTGAGTTTGAATTTTAATCATGACACCCTCTAGCTCTGTAACTCTTTAACTTTACCTTTCCCACTCTAAGAGTTTGCTCCTCTTTAAAACAGAGATAATAACATTTGCACCACTTATCCCTCAGGATTGTTTTAGGGAAGGCACTTTAAGAACCACTCCAGAAACAGAAGCTGATAAGTGCAGCGCTGTTCTTGTACCACTACTATTAACAATTACTAGGATAGTAACAGCCTTAGTAATAGTAGTGTCTCATACCTCACCAGGAGACTGGCACAGAACAAGAAGGGGTCCTATTAAGGAATTGGGAAGCAATAATGAGACAATTTTTTGCCCCAACAAAGGCATTCAGTTGCTGCTAACAGAAAAGAAAGGACTATGGCCCTGGCCCAGTGCCCCTCCCCTTCCCTCCTCCCACAGCTGGTGCTTCTTGGGGAACTTGATACCTGAAAACTGATCGGATTAGCCAGGTCCCCTTTCTGCCGTGGCCCAGAGCCAGCTTACAGGTGTTCAGGTCCCTTCTTCCCTCTCCTGTGCCCCTGTCCCCAGCTCCTTTCCCACAGTCTCCACACACTCAACCTCTCATGAGATGAGTCCCTCACTTTTTGTGCTTACTGCTCTAACAGCTTGGCCAACACCATTTTGATGGGACTTGCCTTTGAGCTGTTAGTGGTCTCAGAGCCAGTGTTGACTACAAGCAACTTCTGGTGGCTTTGCCAGGACCTGGATGGTGCCTTCAGTCTCTCAGCTGTCCTTGTAACTGCTAGTCCCTGACTGGATGAAAATTCATCTTCCAAGAGGCTGAGGCTAAATCCCTTGGCATGATCTTCCTGAGGCTTTACTCCTATTCTGAACTGAGGGACAGTCAGTCTAAATGAGGTGCTGGTGAGGCATGATGAGGAGATAGGCAGGAGCTTCTAATTGACGCAATGTACCTCTCCTTTACTCAGAAGCTTTCACTGTTAGTAACATTCCATTGGTGTTAACACTAGAAATACCACTGGATTGGAAATCACAAGACTTGAGTTTGTATCTTGGCTCTATTTACCTCCTTGACTTTGTAGGGATTAACTCTATAACCCTGGACAATGAGCTTCATCTGTTTGTGCTTGAATTTCCTCATCCTTATAAATGAAGGGTTTGGAGTTCTGGGACCTCGAGGCCACATGTGGCTCTCTAGGTGCTCAAGTGCAGCCCTTTGACTGAATCCAAACTCAACCAGAGAGAGGTTCCCCATCCCTGGTTTGGACTATCAAGATCCCTCTTCTAACATTCCTCGATTCCTGTGGGCCTCTGTAATCTTGCTTTAATCCATTATCCCAGCTTTACACTATTCTCTCCAGCCCTCTCATCTACTCTGTACATATTTTGTATTTGTCTGTCTCCCTTAGTTAAGCTGATTCACGGGGAAATAGTGAATATAGTTTTACAACTAATGTGTGGGGGAATTGTGGGAATTGAGTGAACCACATTGATTCCATCTTGTGACTCAATTCTGGAGCTACCTCAGTTCCCTTTTTATTTAATTATGGGTCTAGTCCAATTTCTGTCTTGTGAGAAAACTTTATTGCATTGTTTGAACCTAGCCCTGTGTGGCTGGGAAGTTGGACCCCCACTACCTGTTGCTTAAAGTCCCTTAACTAAGGACCCAGGTTATGTTGACCAGAAACCCATGAGATCCAAAGATTAATAGATGGAGTTTTCTCACAATTATGCATCTCAAGTGACCCTTACATCTTATCTGAAAACTGACCTGCGCTGGTTAATCAGTTAGTTTCCTTTTCCTTTGCTTAAATCTCTTCAAGGCCCAACTCAGGCTTCATCTCCTCCACGAAGCTTTCCCTGATTTTTCCAGACTGCCAACCAAGGTGAAAGTCGCCTCTCCTTCAATATCAACTTAGAGCCCTTTACCAGGGTTTCTTTGAATCACAGAATTTCAAGTCAGAAGGTTCTTTATTGCTCTTAGTAACCTGAAAGGCCAACCCAAACCAGAAATAAGAGGGCCATTACAACACATGTGACAAGTGGTTATGACATGCCTTTGCCTAAAGACCCTCCATGAGATAGGAAGATCCTTGGCCTTCTAAGAAAGCCCATTCTGCCTTTAGGATAATTATAATTGTTAGAAAGTTTTCCTCAAGCCTAAAATTGTCTTCCTGCCACTTTCACTCATATTCCTTGTTCTTCCCTCTCATGCCAAGCAGAGCTAGTCTTAAGCGTTCTCCCAGATGATTGACAGACCTTTGTAAACTCTGGGGACAGCAGTCATATTTCCCTCTTTAGTCTTCTCCATTGCACTTATCTTAGTCTCCCTTGGATCACAGGCGTGTGTATACGTTTCCCAATCCACCTCCCCCCCCCTTCCCTTTAAGATTCTGAGCTGAAAAGCATCTTAAAGATCAGGTGTCACATTATTTTATAGCTGTGGAAACTGAGGCCAGGGGCTGTAAAGTTTTGCTTGAGCTTCTTTCTTAATGCCAGTAGACACTACAGCCGGCAGGCTCCCCCCCAACCCCCCCCCCCCCCCCCTCCTTTCCCCCCCATTTCCCCCCAGCGCAAGCGAGGGTACCCAGGTGTCTGGCTGAAGGCCTAGGGGAGCACTCGGGGAGCTCAGAGGGAGGCGATGTCGCAGTGACACCTGAGCAGGGGAGGGGCCCGGTTGGCGCCCGGCTGGCTGCACAATGCCTTGGGGCCTGGTTGCGCAAAGCAGGCAGGTGCCCACCTTCCCCTGCGGGACACCTGAGCAGGGGCACAGACCGCAGGGTCCCCCAACACCCACGTCTCGGGGCGCCGGGGGCCCTGACAGCAGGAAAGGAGGAGGCACCAGCCCCTAGGGAGCTTGGGGGCTTTCTGGAGACGCCAGAAGCCTCCAACAGCTGAACAGAGCCTGGAGTGAAGGGCCGAAAAGGCAAATGGGGCGGGGTCCAAGGGCTGGAGACACGGCCAGAGGCGAGGTGCGAGGTAGGCGGGCCTAGGGAGACAGCGGACCCTAAGTAGGCGGAATGGGGCGGGGATAGACTCGGAGGGGGCGGGGCCCGTCCCTCCCTTCGCTGCGCGCGGCATTCCACCCAACGGACAGGGGGCGCAGGTACTACAGCTCCCGCCTCGGCTCAGGGCTTGCGGCCCTTCCTGGCGCCGGCGCCGGCGAGTTCCCGATTCGGGGGCCTGTCGACGGGCCAATGGCCACCTTCGCAACCGCCGCGCTCCGGGGACTGACGCGCTCCGTGCCCGTGCTGAGACCGACTTCGCGGTGGTGAGGAGACAGCCCCCTTTGTCCCTCACCTAGCGACCTCCAAACCGACCCCACACATCGCGACCCCCGCGTGAACCCCGCCCCGGTCCTCCCGCGAAACCACGTGACCCCGACTTTGTGTGTGGCCCCATGGTGACCCTGACGCCGCGTGCCCCCTTGACCCCAACACTGCCTTCGCTCCCTATCCTAATACCACGTGCGCCCCATGACCCTGACCCCTTGTGCTGACCCTGACATCGTGGACTCCCAACCTTGAAACCTCGTATGCCCCCCTCTGACACTGGCAGCCTCCCCGTGGCCCTAACGCCAGGTGCCTTCCGACCGTGACACTGACAGTAGGGCCTGACCCTTGGTGCCCCTGCCCAACCACATGCCCTCCTCACCCCGACACCGGCGTGCACCCTTGGCTGACACTGCGGACCCCAAACCTTAAGAGCCCCTCTGGACGCTGCATGCTCCTGTATGTTTTTGTGTAGATATGAGAGAATGATTTTATTGCTAGCTCCTTTCCTGGATCTTTTCTATGAGTTTTGGAGTATGTCTATTGCTGTTCTTTCCATATTGTGCCTACTCACTATAGTACTCTGTACCTAGGCAGTTTTCTCCCCCTCCTTTTCAGTTTAAATCCCTTTTTTAAAAAATTAAGTTTTATATTCAGACTCACATTTTCTCCCTCTCAACCCTCCCTCCATTGAAAAAGCAAGATACTGTTTTTAATAGTATTTTATTTTTTCCCCAATTATATGTCAAGACAATTTTTAGCATTCATTTTTACAAGATTTTGAGTTCCAAATTTTTCCTCCCTCCCTCACTTCCTCCTCTGCCCTCTTCCTCAAATGGTAGGCAATTTGATATAGGTTATGTAAGTGCAATTGTATAAAGCATATTTCCATATTAGTCACATTTGTGAAAGAAAAAACAGATTAAGAGGGAAAAGAAAACAAAAAAAAGAGAAAAAAGTAAAAAAAAAAAAACCAAGACAGATTAAACTTTTGTTAAAAATTATGTATAGTCAAGAAAAACAAATTCCTGCATTGGTTACGTCCAAATGTATCTCAGTCTGTATTCTGAGTCCGTCACCTATCAGGAGGTAGGTATCGTGTTTCATAAAGCTTTTTTGATTACGCTTGCGAGACAAATAGATTCTTATGAGGCAACGTGTGCCAGGTACTCCATCCCAGATCGGGACCTGGCATTCCAGTATTTTTATGTCATGGTCCAGAAGTCAAATTCTCATTCTCAGACAGCATCTTCTTAACCAGCTGTTCAGTTTCCAAATTTACCTTATGGCCTCTGAGTAGCAGTTATGAAAGCATCATCTGTGCCACTAAGGTCTTGTTGCCCAGAACTTTTTTTGTCATTAGCAATAATTTATAGATTTCTCCTTTAAGTAGTAACCACCAGTTCTTAACCACCAGAAGTTATCCTGTTTGACAAGTTTTGGGGGTGCTCTGTCAAGCCCAGAAAGATAAAAGACATTCTTTTTTTTGGGGGGGGGTGAGGCAATCGGGGGTAGTCCTCCTGACTCCAGAGTCACTGCTCTATCCACTGCGCCACCTAGCTGCCCCATAGTAGACATTCTTATTGTTATCAGATTGACAGATTGTTGCTTCAGTTTCTTCAGCAGGGAATCATCAACCACCATTTAGCGGTTCTTACACTGACAATTTATTCATCTGTAGATCCAGACAGTTCTATCTTGGAGGACAAGCAGTTGCTTCTAAGAGGGCCTAGTTCCCTCCCCTTTGAAAAGAACCTCTTGTATTTGGTCATGGTCTTCTTGTACCTGAAAATCTGACAAGTAATTTCCTTCTTCCTTCTCTAATTTATGATGTCATGCTTTATATCTAAATCATGTACCCATTTGGAGTTTTATCTTGATATGCAGTATGAAATGTTGGTCTCTACCTAGTTCTGACCAAATGGTTTTCCAGTTTTCTCAACAGTTTTTATTGAAAAGAAAGTTTTTACCTCAATACCTGGGACCTTTAGTTTATAAAACACTAGGCTACTGTGTTCTTTTGCTTTGGTATAATGTGTGTCTAATCTGTTCCACTGATCCATCTCTTTATTTCTTAAATAACAGACACCAAATGATTACTGCTTTGTAGAATAGTTTGAAATCTGGTACTCTTATGTCTCATTTCTTCCCACTTTTTCTTCCTTGAGATTCTTGACCAAATTTTGTTCCTCCAGCTAAATCTTGTTATTATTTTCCCTACCTGTACAAAGTGATCCTTTGGTAGTTTAATTGGTATAGCACTGAATAAGTAAATACATTTGTGTAGTATTGTTGTTTTTATTAAATCAGCTGGACTTAACATAAGCGGTTAATATTTCTCCAATTATTTAGATGTCTTTGTGTAAAAAGTGTTTTGTAGTTGTGTTCATATGGTTGCTATGTGTGTCTTTGCAAGTAGATTCTCAATTATTTTATATTTTTTGTAGTTATTTTAAATGAAATTTATCTCTTCCTACTGGATTTTAATGCTGATGTGGGTTCATTTTATATCCTGCAACTTTGCTGAAGTTGTTCATTGTTTCAATTAGTTTTTCAGTTGATTCTGTAGTGTTCTTTAAATCCACCATCATCTCATCTGCAAAAAGTAATAATTTTATTTTCTCTTTGCCTATACTTATTCTTCAATTTCTTTTTCTTGTCTTGTTGATAAAGCTAGCATTTCTAGCACTATATTGAGTAGCAGTGGTAATAATGAACAGCCTTGCTTTACCTCTGATCTTACGGGAAAGACCTCTAGTTTATCCCCCTTAAAGATAATACTAACTTTTGGTTTTAGATAAATATTACATAGCACATTAAGAAAAGATCCATTTATTCCTATGCCTTTCGATTTTTTTTTTAAAGGAGTAGGTATTGGAGCAGCTAGGTGGTACAATGGATAGAGTACTGGGCCTGGATTCAGGAGGACCTGAGTTCAATTCCAGTCTCAGACCAGACACTTGATACTAGCTGCGTGACGCTGGGGAAGTCACTTAATCCCAATTGCCTCAAAAAAAAAAAAAAAAAAAAGGAATAGATATTGTATCTTGTCAAAAGCTTTGTCTACAGCTTTTGATAAAATCATGATTGTTGTTGTTCTGGTAATTATTATGGTAAGTATTCCCAATATTGAATCAGTCCTGCATGTCTGGTACAAATACAATCTAGTCACATAGTTTTTGTGATGTATTACTGTAGTCTCTTTGCTAATATTTTATTTAATATTTAAAATATGTGCATCAATATTCATTAGGGATATTGATCTATAGTTTTCTTTCTCCCTGGTTTAGCTATCAAAACTGTATTTACAGCAAAGAAAGAATTTGGTAGGATTCTTTTTCTTATTTTTCTAATTGTTCTTTAAATGTTTGATAGAATACACTTGTAAATCTATCTGATTTCCTTCTTTCATTTCTTTTCCATTTTTTCCCCAGCTCTCTCATTTCTTTTCCAGTTGTTTCTCCTAGTTGCTGTTATTTCATTGATAAAATATTTTTTAGCTCTTTTTTCTTTCTTTTTTTGAAACTTCTGCTTCATCTCTTCCAGGAATTCTCATTGAACATGTACCTGGGCTGTTTTTCTTTGAGGCTTTGCTTAGAGAAGTTTTAGAGTTTTTCTATTCTTCTGTGTTTGTCTTGAATGTTCCTGTACTCTTAGTATCTCTTTATGGTGGGATTCTTTGTTTGCTCATTCTTCCAGACTAACTTCTTCACTTTGGACTTTGGGTTAGGGCCAGGGCTGGGGCTGGGTCAGACCGTACAGCTGCTGTACTTGCTCTGATACTCAATGCACAGAGTCTGTGACAGTCCTTGCCCTAGACTGACCATCACCTCACTCATGTCCCCTCATCATTCCACACTGAGTCTGTGACCCAGCCCTGAGTAATAAGCAGCAGAGCTGTCCCTGCTGCCTCGACAAGACCAAGGCCCTCTGTGCCAGATCTGAGGCCTCTTCTTGCTCTAATGCAGTATTCCTGGCTAGACCCCATCCTCGGTGTCCAGAGGCCTGTTTGTCTCTCAGTGCCCACCCAGGCTGGGAAAATGACTTATCTGTTTCTTGGATTAACTGATCAAGACCAAGTCTGGTCTGTTTTCTGTATCTTTGTGGAGTAGCTGTGTAGGACAGTGAGGCTGCCTGCTTCCTCTGCCATCTCGGTCATTTTCCTTGTCATCTCTGTATTCAGAATCTCAGACACCATGTAAAATAATTGTTGCTCTTTTGTATCCCTTGCCTTCAGTGGGCAGCAGAGAGGAAAATTCAGCCTATGCTTTTATGATACTCAGTTTCTCGTGTAAGATTTTGAAATTTAGGGCAAATTAGGGCAGTTTCTAGGCTGCTTCTGATGGTACTGTTTGGGAACCCCATGAATCCACCAGACTTTGAGACTGAGATTTTTGCGTCTGTCATTCTTGATCCTGACTCCCTTGGAAGTCTCCCAGGAGAGGGTCTGCAGCTCCAGTGTTGCTATTTCCTTTGTACTTTGTTAAGAAGTTCCTTAGCTACGACACCCTGGTCCTCTCCTTTGTCCTGCTTGCCTCCCTAAAGTGACTTTCGCCTTGCTCACTTCATTCTCGGGACCTGCTGACCTTCAAACCCTGTCCTCCTTGAACAGTCCTCTTTCTCAAATCCTTCTCCTGCTTAACTTATCCTTATTTTCCCAATCTAGCTCTTCTCCTCTAGTTTCCCTTAACTCCCAAGTCTTCCCAAATTTCTACTCTCTCAAATTCAGTCTCTAGGGCACCTAGGTGGCGCAGTGGATAGAGCACTGGACCTAGAGTCAGGAGGACCTGAGTTCAAATCTGGCCTCAGACCACTAGCTGTGTGACTATGGGCAAGTCACTTAACCCCAATTGCCCTGGATTCAGGAAGACCTGAGTTCAAATGCAGCCTCAGACACCTAACACTCACTAGCTGTGTGACCCTGGGCAAGTCACTTAACCCCGTTGCCTAGCCAAAAAAAAAAAAAAGTCCTTCTCTATACCCTTCCAATTTTTAAAACACTCCCAACCTCCTTCACAGTTCTTCCTTGTACAGATTGAGTCTTTCTCACAAAAGCTGGAAACACTTGTTTCCCATATGTGACGACTTTCATACTTCATTTTCCCTCTGCCACAATAATGTTTGTATTGACTGACCTTTGCAATCCCGTGTCTGTCTCATCCCAGTCGTCATCACACTGTTCTCTGCGTGGGAGCCTCAGACTTTCGTGTGTCCTCGCTACAATTCTTCACTCCACGTCCTGCCCTTTCTGTCCCGCTCACACATTTCTCTGACATTTTCGACTGTCATATATCCCTTCCAGCTGTGTGCCTCATGCTTTCTCCTCTGTGCTGCTTACCTTGTATTTCTCCATGCAGGCTGCCACGAAGGAACCACCACTTGACCCCTGTGGATGATGAGTTTTTCCAGAGGACCACCATTACCTTGCTGGAGAAAGATTCACCTCACATTATGTACATAGATACCTACAGCCCCCGGGGCTTTACTGTCAATGGCAACCGCGTTGTGGGGCCCTGTGCCTTGGTCCCCCACTCTGTCATGCAGTGGAATGTGAGTTCTTTATCGTTCTCCCTGCCTTCAACGACACAAGAATGGGGATCTGTTCTCCTCTTCGCAACAACCCTCACCCTGCTAGGCTCCTGATGCATTCCATAAGGGCCTACAGCTTGCAGGCCACTGTAGATACATAACTAAAAATAAAACAGTCCCTGCAATTAACACATTTACTTTCTGTTGAGGAGGATTTAACATGCACACAGATAAATACAAATTAATTTCAAGAGGGAGAAAGCATTAACAGGGGATTTAGGAAAGGCATAAGGTAGGCAGAAGCATCTGAACTGAGCCTTAAAGAAAGCTATGGATGTGAAGGAATGGAGGTGAAAGGCAGTGGATCCCCAAGCGTGGAGACAGTGAATCCCCTGTATGAAGGGAGATAGGTGGGAGAGTTTGTAACACAGTGTGTGATAAGCCTAGAAGTGTCCTGGGATACCGGTTTTAGAAGGCCTCAGATGCTAAGGTGAAGAATCTCTATATTATCTTAGAGGTAATAGGATCTCTCCTCCCTCCTGCCACCTCCTCTATTGAAAATGAAACCATGTTTTATAACAAATATGCATAGTCAAGCAAAACAGATTCCTGCATTGGCCAGGTCCCAAAAGATAAATGTCTCATTGTGCACTCTGAGTCCATCTCCTTTCTGTCAGAAGGTGGTAGTATGTTTTATCATGAATCCTCTGTAATCAGGCTTGGTTATTGCATTGATCAGGGTTCACTGATCTTTGAAAGTGTTTATTTCAACCATGTTAACTGTCTAAATTGCTCTTCAGGTTCTCCTCACTACACTTAAGTCTTCTCAAGTTTCTCTGAACCCATCCTTTTCATAATTTTTTTGAGCACAATAATAAACTCATATACCATCATTTGTTAAGCCATTCCCCAACTGATGGGCACTCCCTTCACTTCCAGGTTTTGACATCACAAAAGAATTAGATTTTTTTTTCTTTCTTTTTTTTTTTTTTTTTTTTGGTGAGGCAATCGGGATTAAATGACTTGCCCAGGGTCACACAGCTAGTAAGTGTTCAGTGTCTGAGGCTGGATTTAAACTCAGGTCCTCCTGACTCCAGGCCCAGTGCTCTATCTACTGCACCACCTAGCTGCCCCAGAATTAAATATTTTTGATGAATTATTTTGAATATGAATTTGAAATACTTACTGGCTTTCCAAAAGATGTCCAGGAGATAGTTGGTTTTTAGGACTAGATATAGGATCTATTTATATATAAATAATTGAACCCATGGGAGCCGATGAGATTACCAAGAGACTGTAGAAAGAAAGGAGGTCCCAGAAAGGAGCCTTGAGAGACCCATTGAATGGGCAGGGGATGGAGATGGAGAATCATCATATTAAAGAGACTGAGGAATAGTCAGACAGCTGGGAGAATCATGTCACTGTAATGGAAGCCAAGGGAAGAAAGAATATTGGAGAAAGTTAACAGAATGAGGACTGAGAAAAAGTCATTGGATTTTGCAGTTAAGATATTTAAATAGCCTAGATCTCTTCAGTAACTTTTGAGAGACCAGTGTCAGCCAAGTGGTGAAGGCAGGAACCTGGGTGCAGGGGGTTGAAACAATGAGAAAATGAAGGCAGTTAGTGTAGGTTAGAAGGCCCTTTCTAGGAGATTGGCTGTGAGGGAGGGAAGAGATGGAGGATAGCGTACGGAGATGGCAGGGTCCACTGTCGGGTTTTTCAGGATGGGGCATGTGTACAGACAGTATCAAAGGAGTCACAGGATAAGGAGGGACTGAAGATGAGTCATTGAAGGAGCATACTTCCAGTGGATATGGGAGAAAATGGCAGAGAGAACTGAGGATGTTTATTACACATGGGCACTATTAACCCAAGCTCTACTTTCTCTCCTCTATGTAGGTGGGAAGCCATCGGGATATCACCGAAGAGAGCTTCTCCCTTTTCTGGATGTTAGAGCCTAAAATTGGTGAGGGCGGGGCAGATCCCTCACTGGGTACCAACCCAATCTGTCACACTGTTGCTTCATTTTAAAGATAATTAACCTTTCCCCTAAACATGTTCATTTTAAGGGTTTAGGATTAGAGTTTTACAAAAAAAAAAATTAGCAAAGCGCTTAAAAAATATTTCATTTTATCCTCACAACCCTCCTGGGAGGTTAAGTGCTATTAGTATCCCCGAAGAAACTGAGGCAGGCGGCTGTTAAGTGACTTGTCCAAGGTCACACAGCTGGTAATAATCTGAGGTCGCATTTGAACTGGAGTCTTCCTGACTCTAGGGCTAGATACCATCATCTGACTCTAGGAAATTGATAGGGTGATGTGTGTGTTTTCCTCCTTCTCCTAGGTGGAGACAGGGGAGCAGTCATATCAGAAACAGAATCTTAGTCCCCTTCTTCCTACTAATGGCTTTTCTTTACTGGCAGAAATTGTAGTGGTGGGCACTGGTGACCGCATGGAAAAAGTCCAGCCAGAGATTTTGAAGGCCATGAGGAAGCGTGGAATTGCTGTTGAGGTCCAGGACACAGTAAGCAGTGTGGGAATTCTTTGGAGACACACACACACACACACACACACCCACCCCCGCAGTAAAAAGCTGGGCTAGTTTTAATCCACTCTTGGTTTGTCTCTTCCAGCCCAATGCCTGTGCTACCTTCAACTTCCTGTGCAATGAGGGTCGGATGGCAGGTGCTGCCCTCATTCCCCCACCTGGAGGCTCCCCAGCTGTAGCTCCATCCTCTCATGTAGAATAAACTATTGCTAATCTTGCTTTTTGTTTGTTCAGTGTCTCTTTCGAGAAGGGTTCACGTTTTCTTCTCTTAAATAACTATTACTAAAGAAGCACTGGGGATACAGATAGAAAAGTAGAACCCTCAAGAAGCTTATATTCCAACAGAGGGCAGAAATGCAGAGGGAATGGTGGCCAGGGAGGGGAATTCTGCTTTGGAAAATTGTAAGGAGCAAAGGTGGAGCCCGAGAGGAATAGATTGGTACACCAAATATGATTTGGGTCAAGTCATGTAACCTCTGAAGCTTAGCTGTTTCTGTGTCTGTAAAATGGGAATCATCCTTGCCTTTCACAGGTTTATTGTGAAAATAATAATGTGGATTTTATAAAACAGTGGTAAACAGAAGTCCACACTTGCCCTGACCTGTGTTTGAAAGCTCAGAACCCCAAGTTGGCAGCAACCTCATCACCCACCCAGTCCCTAGAGAATCCCCTTGATACAATCTCAAGAGCTGGGGTACTCCATGGAGAAGAGCCCTGCCTTGAATGCCATGGGTCACCATAAAGTGAGTCCTTTTAATACTGTTCTTAACTCTGTTCTCATCCAGCCACTGCTTGGTGGTTGAGAGAAAACTTCTCCCCCTGCCCACAGTCAAAGCAGGCCATTCTAGTTTTGACCATGGACTTCTGCTGTTCTGGAAGAAGCTGTGGGATGTATGGTTTGTGGACCCAGGCCAACATCATGTTCTTATATTGTCCCTAAGTAACTTCCTCTAACAGGATGTCATCCACCTGGAGCTGGGCCAGAGCACCAGGAACTCGAAGCCTACAGGCTAGTGGCAATCAGTCAAGAATTCATTAATTACCTCCAGTGTGCCAGGCACTGTTCAAGTTGATCTCAACACAAAGACAGAAGTGGGAGTTCCCACTGCAAAGGTCATCACCAAGGGAGAGGGGATAACATGGACAGATAGAGGCATACGTAAAAGACACAAATATGTTTTGGGGATTAAGGACAAGTAGCTGGGAAGAGGGGTGGGGTGCAGGTGTGTTAGGTGGTAAGAGGTGGAAATGAAGGCATGTGTTCTAAGCATGAAGTACAGTCAAGCCAAAGGCACGGACATGGGAAGAGTGCTGGGAACAGCCAGGCCAGTTTGGCTGGAGAGGAAAGATGGGGCTAGGTGGTGAAAGAGTTTAAATGCCCAACAGGAACCTCTTTTGGAGCCTAGTTAATAAGGAGTTGCTAGAGTTTTTAGAGTAGGGGAACTCACTTTGGAGAGTAGTTTTTTTTGGAAGGATAAGCTCAGAAGCCAGCTTACAGAGATAAAAAGAGGCAGAGGAGGCCATGTGTGCTGACAGCTTTTTCTAGGTATTTCACTGAGAAATAAATGGCAAAGGGATATAGGGCAGGGTCTACATTGGCAGTTCTTAACCCAAGTTCAAGGCATCTATAAACCTCAGAGGGTCTGTAAATTTGGACAGGAAAAAAAAGTTTATCTTCACTAACCTCTAAGTGAAATTGAGCATTTTCTTCCATTATAAATATAGGCAACAAAATACGAGTCTTTAGAAGGGGTCACACACACAAAAAGGCAAAGAACACCTGGTCTAAAGTTTAGAGACTTGGGAATGCAGGCAGGCAGCAGAAAAGGAACCAGCAAGGAGGGATCACAGCTGAGTGTGTGAGTGAATGTCTCTTACACATACACAGATGGAACTACTAGATAAGGAGACTAGGCTAATGCAGGTTGACACCTTTTGTGCAACTTGGAGACCCGGTCTAAAGCTCTGTTCAGGGTCACACAGCCAATGTGTGTTAGAGGATTCAAACCCAGGCCTTCTTGGCCACTATGCAACACTGCCTCTCCAGTCTGAAGTCAGATTTTGCCTATGGGACAGCAGCAGGAGCCAAGTTGGAGGGCCTGTAAGACCTAGGCTAGTTTGTGAGACCACCAGTCCAGTATCAGATAGGCAGAAAAAGCCAACTGAACAGGAGGTAGTTGTGTAGGCATGGAAGGGCACTGCTAAAGAGAACAACATCGCCGGTATGCACAGACAGGGTGAAGCCTTTGCTGGTGTTTTGCCATCAGGTCTGGCCACCTCCCTAAATGCAGCACACCCACCACTCCATTCCTAGGATTCTTTAAGGCCCAATACCTCCTGTTCTCATTCTTCCAATCGACGCTCAACTCATTAGCTCCTTCTACCTCTGAGCTGCCAAGAGCTCCCTGTGGCCTGGCTTAGCGTCCTCCACCTTTCTGTTTCTTCCTGTGTGACAGGCACAGAAAATGGACACTTTGGGTCCCATTTCTTGGTGGCGTGCTTGTCAGTTTCTGAATAACAGCAAGTAGCTGTTCAGTCTAGGTGAAGACACCCCTAACTGCCTTGTAGTGCATTCTACTTCTGGATAGCTCTTAATGGTTTGGCACTTTTTCTTTATATGGGAGCCAAAATCTGCATCCTTCCCCACTGTTCCTTGTCCTACCCTCAACAATCAAACGGGACAAGTAGAATCCCCATTTACCCCACAGTCTGACAATTATAAAGACCGTGATCAAGTCTGGCACCCTCTCCTTCAGGGTAAACATGGCTAATTCCTTCAATGGATGTACATCTGTACTCTTTACATCTGCTGTCCTGCTTGGTCTCAGTTCCATGAAAAGATACCCCATGGTGCCTCCCTTTTCCTGCCTCCTTGTGTGTTGTCTCCCCCTTTAGATTGGAGGTTCCTTGAGGGTAAGGCCTGTCTTTTGATGTGCTTAATAAATGTTTAGTGGACACTGGATTTACATATAGCAGCCCTCTTCTCAGAATGACTGCGTTGGCAGAGGCAGAGTGAAATCCCGGAAATGACATGGCAGAAACTGCCCTGTGTTAGCCTAGCCCCTACTCCCCTTCTTTCCCTTCACCCTACATGACAAAAGTCCACAGACGACTATATCCAGCTTTTTATTGAAAAACCTAGAGAGGGAGAGGTGAGAGGCAGTAAAAGCAAACAAGGCCACTTCTCAGAAGAGCCGCTTCTCATACCTGTGGGGCAAAAAGAAAAGACTACGTAAAAATAGTAGGAGGTACCTGTAGTGGCCCAAGAAAGAGGCAGATGGGATGTGGGACACTTACGAATGGAGTCCATGGACACCCCCTTCCACCTGAGCAGATGAGGTCCTCTTCTCAAATTTCAGCTCCCCTGAGTACATCATGGCTCTGAAGAACAAAGGTGCCAGTGAGCATGGGCCAGCTCTGTGCTCTCCTTGACCCCAAGCTGGGGCACAGCCCTGCCCCAGAGGGTCCAAGGCCCATCCTTCTTACCTGACTTGAGTTAGACTCTTGGCACCAATATCTTGGCAGGAGTGCTGGATGCCAGCAATCAAGTAGGGAACAAACTTGTGGATGGACCCTTTGTCCTGCACGGCCCCAGACACCCCTTGAGCCACTTTGATTTTGTCTGCTTCACTGTGGGTGAAAAGAAGGAAGAGCTGGAAGGGTCCACCCATCTACCCCACAGCACAGCTGTGGGCTGAACAGCCTGGAAGTGGACACAGGACTCCTCCTTGCCCTCCTGTCTTCTAAAGAAGCAAACTAAGGGGTTGGCCAAAAGCCATAGGAAAAACAAACTCAGAAACCGCTTCTTCCTTTCACACCAATTTCCTTTCTCTCAAAGAAAACAAACACTCTCCATCGAAACCCTGAGGGATGGACAACAGGAAGGTGTGAAGCAGCAGCTTTCCAGGACAGTTTTGGCCCAGAAAGCCCCTACCTCAGCACCACGGTGGAGCTAGCCGTTAGCCTCCCTCACCTGAAGTAACGGTTCTGGCTGCCGAGGTTCTTGTCCATGGCATCGAGGGAGCCCATTCCCCGGTATTTCTTTAGCCGGATCCCATCAGAGAAGAAGTACTCGCCTGGGGCCTCTGTGGTGGCCGCCAACAGAGAACCCATCATCACTGTAGGGAGAGATAGCCTCTGCTCACCAAGCTCCTTGGACTTCCTGTCCCCATGGCACATACAGCCTCCATGTGTACAGGAAGGGTAGGTTCTCTATGGGCCATATGGCTGGAGGCCTAACCCATGCCCTTTCTCAGTATCTTCCTGCCTGTCTGGTCCGCATAGGATTTAAAGCAGGAAAGAACCTTAGAGATAATCTGGTCAAAAGAGAGACTAGGATTTGCATAAGAGAAGAGCTGGGATTTTAAGTCCAAGGCACTTTTTACTTCAGACCCAGGGGGTGCTTACCTGTGGAAGCTCCAAGGGCAAGAGCTTTGGCAATGTGGCCCACGTTTTGGATGCCGCCATCTGCAATGACGGGGACTCCAAAGCGCCGTGCATATTCTGAGACCTTGTATACAGCAGTCGCCTGAGGCCGCCCACATGCCAGCACTAAGAGAGGAGACAGAGAAAACAGGGTCAGTTCAGTTGAGTATATTTGTCAGAATAGCACCCCAGCAGCCAAACTTAAGTTACTCCGAGTGCCCTTGGCTAGGCCTTCATCAAGACTAGGGCAGTGGAGCTGGGGTGACCTCCTCACTAAAGAGTAGTACTTACTATACTCTCCTATGACAGAGACTGGATAATTAAAGAGGCTCATGAATGAAGTCGCAGTATTGTCCTTCCTATCAGGTCCCCAACCCCGACTCCCACCAGGCTCTGGCTACAGGGTGGTCATGGGCACAGGAGAGACTGTGCAGGTTAGTGGTCACACAGCAGGCAACAGCTTCAACTACACAACCCTCCCTCTGAAGCCAGCTCGACCCACACCTGGGCCTTTCCCTCTGTAAGAGCTTAGCCAGGGTTTGTAGGAATGAAGGAAGGAAGGGAGGGATGGAAGGATCCTGTTCCTACCTAGTCAATGGAAGTAACTCTAAGAAGTGCAGGGACCTAAGTCAAACCTCAGATGAGGGTGGCTTTGGAGGAATCACCCACGAGTCCCTCTCTTTCAGACAGGGGTGCACAGGAGAGGGGGAAGGGGCCTAGGGGCTCCATCTAAGGGCAGCCCAAGGCAGATTTCCTGCCCATCAATCAGTCCGCCTCCCCGCAACACACACTG